CAACCATCTGTAATGAGGTCTGGTGCCCTCTTCTGGCCTGGAGACATACACACAAACAGAATATTGTATACATGATAAATAAATAAATATTTAAAAAAAATAGTTAGTCAAGCAAGAAAGACACGTTCTCAGGAAGTGGAAATGAAATATTTATAATTGAATGTTGATCTATTTGAAATAGAGAACAATTGATAAGTTCAGAACTGAAATAAAATTATTTCATTTTCTCCTTCTGAAAGGCAGCCAGGGTGCCTAAAACCACCTTGCAGAGCCCTGCGGATTTGAGCAAACCTTCAAAGGCCATCTTCTGGTTGTTTACTCATCTGTGTATGTGTGCACACACACAAAGAGAGTTTGAGTATATATGTGAGTCTGTGTGAATGTGTGTGGGATATAAATGAATGAGTATGTGTGTGGCGTGAGTGTATGAGTGTGTGTGTGTGTGTGTGTGTGTGTGTGTGTGCGCGCGCGCGCGCGCGTACAGACAGATGTCAGAAAAGGACACCAGCTCCCTTGGAACTTGAGTTAAAAGAGTATATGGGGCACCTGGCTTGTTCCATGCTAGATTTCAAACTCTGGGAAACACTCTTAAGCACTCAGCCATCCCTCCAGGAGTCCTGGATCCCCACTGCCCTTATCTGCAGCCTGGTCTTCTCAATCATTGCTCCACCCCTCCCTTTGTTCCCTAAACTCTTCATGGACAAACACCATTTACTTCAGACGGGGCCTGACTGGCAAAGGAGGCCGTTAGAAACACCATCTTCTCCCTTCTGGCGGCACCAGATCACAGCTGGCATCTTCCCTCGCTGGAATGCCTCCCTCTTTCACCCAGGATGGCCATGTGCCCACCCCTCAGCCTACCCCTGATCAACTGATGTTTTCACATCAAGTGTATGATATTTCTCCACTAGGCACTTTGGGGTGTGTTGAAGAACAACTTTACTCTTAGGGTAGTTCAGAGTCAAATTAGGCTGCCAGTGGTGTGGCAGGCAGAATCTGCTGGGGACATAACTCCCACTCGTAGAGTTTGGCCAGAAATGAAACACAGGAGCTTAGCCCTCTGAAGTCATGCGTTCCTCTCGCACAATGAAAATGCGAAGATGAAGAGCAAACGGAGGCTTGCCGTGGTGGACGATGGGCCTCCTGCTCTCTGCTGGAATGGTCCCAAAACATCTTAACTGCTTCCACAAGTCATTCGGCTTCCACAAACACCCCGGGAAGTATAAGATCTTCTCCGTTTTGTAAATGGTGAACCTGATGCTCGGAGAAGCCAAACAGCCCAGCTGACACAGGCAGGCAGTTGACACATCGCTTCACTAGATACCCAAGTCCATATTCGTCCTACTGCATATGCAGGACAAAGGAAGAACTAAGAAAAGCCAAGGTCACCGGTGGTGAACACTAGGGCAAGTGCTTTGGATTGAATAGAGAGATGGAGAGGAGGTCGCTTTGCATTTGGCATAAGGACTCACTTTCTAATATTCGTAAACACCTGAGTTAATAATTTTAAAATGAGGGAAATAAAACATGAAGAAGTAGATAAAGACCTTTGGGAAGCTGAGGCCACATAGGGCTGCTGAGTTCATTTGTCCACTTCCCCTTAGGGAATATAAACCATCCGCTGTGTAGAAAATCTGAATAAATACGAGCCACAGAGCCAAGAACGCCTGCTTCTGAAGCCACCTCTATGCGGAAGGCATTTGCAATTTCCTACGGGGCTAGTGGTGGAAGGCTCTGTCCCTCATGTTGGAGCAGGAAGCCATAAGCAGCAACTGCTGGCCACTGGGGAACTTACCCTTCCTGGATGTTTTTTATTTGCTTACAGACTTATCGGAAGGAAGTCACTGTAATGGAGCGAACCAGCTTATCAATAATTAACTCACACACAGTTATCAATAATTAACTCATACATGGGGCCGATCAAACAGCGTCTGGTCCCTTTAGCTTCCATTTAAACACGCATCTGCCTTCATCAGAATAAAGATAACGGCACTGTTGATATACAGGTCCAGAGTTGTCAATTAATGGATTTATTAATTTAAGTAGTTCCAGACCTCCTTAAAAACCAGGGGCAAGCAGGACCCAAGACTGGGTCCTGCCATCGGTGCCTGTGAAGGGGGAAATGTGGGAACCAGCCATGATAAGCTAAATATGAACAGATCGCCCAAAGGAAGTTCTTTACTTCCAGCCATTATCACCTGCCGGAGTAGGACTCAGCCACCGGAGTCTCAGTAGTTTACCCTGAAGCAATACCTGGTTGCAGGAAGGACCATAAACTAAGATTACCTGAGCACCACCCAAGAACAGACCATCCAAACATTCCAACCGCTGTAGATAGGATCACCTGCCAGCACACACTCACCAGGACACCCCTAGACAAATGTCAGCCAATCAGGGGTCCTGAACCTCAGAAACCCCTCACCCCCACCTTTACTACTATAAAAATCCAACTCTGACTGAGCTCGGGGCTCTCCGTTTATTCCAGAACGATGGACATGCGGAGAGACTGAGTTTGTAAACTTGCATAAAATAAAGGCTCTTTGCTTTTGCACACGGGGGTGGGAGGGGAGATAACGGCGCAAGAGTCAGCAATGCTTAGCTGTAAAGAATCCTTATACTACAGGGTCTGCAAGTCTCAAGTTTCCAAGACGCACAGTCTGGGAAGAACTCAAGACACCGTCTAAAGACTGGATTAGGATGCACGGGGCATCAAGGGAGCGAGTGTTTCTCTGAAATCGTAAACAATCGTAGCTAGCAACGACAGAGCCCACAGCAGCAGGAAGTCACTCGGAAACTTTATTAAAAGCACTCTCGGCGTACAAGCTGGAGCCACAGTGAGATTTCTTAGCACTCATGAATATGTATTAGGGTGTACGCTTAACAACAGAAATTAAGTACCGTGCAAATGGAAAACAGATTTCTAAGAATCCGTTGTGTGTTTATATCCTGCAGACTGTCTTTTAAAGCCTGTAACCAGATTCTTGTTCGGTGTCTCAATGGGATGGTGGAGCTGCTGATATCTGGACATTTTCCTAAAATGAGTCTTTTAAGAGATTTTCATAATCAAAGGACTCCTCTTCGCCCCTGGTGGTGGGGTTGCAAACTCAAGGTAGTGTCAAATACCTGAGGTTCTCATGGACCCTCTCTTCAGGGCAGTCCAGGCTCAGCTGGATGGAGAGGGAGAGAGGAGGCACCCTCACTGCCACCAGAGGGCTCCCACACAGCTTCTGCTGGCCGTGGGGCACTAAGAAAGCCCTGGCATCATACCCCCAATGCCCAGAGAGTGAGCTGAGCACACTGATGTTTCATATTTAGCAAGAGGAGAAGCATGACGAGTCTTGCATATGGGCTGGAGAGATGGCTCAGAGGTTAAGGAGCACTGGCTGCTCTTCCAGAGGTCCTGAGTTCAATTCCCAGCAACCACATGGTGGCTCACAACCATCTATAATGAGATCTGGTGCCCTCTTCTGGCAGAACAGTGTATACATAATAAATAAGAAAGAGCTGCTAAAAATACCTAATACTTTAAAAGACAAAAAAGAGTCTTACACACTTTTAAACAGCTTGCCTCCAAAGATGTCACCTTGGACTTGGTGACAGCAGTTGAAGGGATCCTCTGAGCACACACTCCAGGCAGTCAGGTGATAAGCAAAACTGTTTATCCAGGGGAGGTGGAGAGCTGGGGCAGACCTCCTTTGCAAAGCATAGTTAAAAGACTTAGAATCCGAGAATGCCAACCTTCAGAAGGGCTAACTAATTTAAAAGTTTACTATCAGTGTACTAGTATTGTTACTTTCTACTGGAAAGCAATACTTGGCATTGTAAGAAGGGCAAAACAAATGAGAAAAATGTCATGTAGGATTGTTTACTGTGAGGTCAGAAGTAAGGGGCCACCTACCAGCTTGTTGGTACTCTGGTTCAGGAAGACTAACCAGTTATTCCTCTACACTGCAGGCTGCTCACTGCCGACACCCCCAGGCCTCTGCGTAAGATGCAACCTCTTGGGAGGCAGAGGCAAGCAGATCTCTGTGAGTTTGAGGCCAGCCTGGTCTACAGAGTGAGTTCCAGGACAGGTTTCACAGAGAGACCCTGTCTCAAAGAACAACAGCAACAAAAAAAGATGCAACTGACCATGCCTGTGCCTCTCTCCAGAGGACTTGCTCCATGGAGCTACCACAAAAGCCTGGCCCAGATAGTTTCTCTGTAGTTACAGGAAAAGATAAATGAACCACAGACCCTATAACCATCAGCACCAGAACCAGAACCCCCATCCAGTTTTCACTTTGTAGAAATCGATCCCTCCCATACCCTAGCTGGAGGCCTTTGGTGAGTCACTTGACCACTCTGAGACCCTCGTTCACTGCATTTGGTAATGAGAATGACCCCTTCATTCTACAAGGTCACGGTAGCACCCCAATAATGTCCTACCTGGTGTCCACAGCTCTGTAGACTGCTGTTAATGGGATAGCAAGAGCGAGCCACAAAAGCAGCTCTGAGTAGGGACTGTGATGGGAGACGTGCAGAATGGCCCATGTTTCAAGAAAGACAAGAAGGTACCACTGGGTCCCTAAAAGTTGAAAACAAGCCAGTCTACCTTAATAGTCTTCCAAATTCAACAAAGGACATTGACACCATTCCCTGGGTATGTGACCTCCATACATTGTATACCATGAAAATCAAGGTCCCTGGTTTTTAAAACTCAGGGCTGTACAGGTGCCTTGGTTGTGGTGCTTGCCTAGCATGTGTGAGGCCCTCAGCACATCATGCACACACACCAACCCGTCCACTAATAACTACCAACCACAGGTAGCTAGAGAGATGGCTCAGCGGTTAAGAACACTGGCTGCTCTTCCAGAGGACCCAGGTTCAATTCCCAGTACACACATGATGGGTCACAACTGTAACTCCACCTCCAGGAGATCCAACATCTCACACAGACAGACATACAGACAAAACACCAATGCACATTAAATAAACAAGCAAACAGAATAACTACCAACCTGTCTTTGTGTCCTGGGGACTAACCAAAGTCAGTAATTTATGTTGAGGTTCGTCACGGTACATAGTGCAAAATCGAAGAGATGGAGTTTCAAGTCTGACCTAAAGAAAAGAACAACTGAATTACTATTCTGCTCTCTCACTGGATTAAAGCATGGGAAACAACTGGGCAATTGCTTGGCATGGTGCTCACTGAAAGAACACTGTTGGCAGAGGCAAACTTAGGATGCAAGAAATCCAACAAGGGAAGCCTTAGCTGACCTAGGTGTAGCAACGGGCTTGCTTCTGTCTGCCACCAGCAAGCCTTCCCATTCCAAAATCCATGGGTTAGACAACTGTTCATAGTGCTCTCTCCCTTCTCTGTGAGTCAAGCTCCTAAAGTCTTCTGCATCCTGGGCCTCCCTGCACCTCAACCTGCAAGGTTGGCAGCCTCACCCCACCTCACACAAGAAACTCTGCCGTCATCTTCTTCTGTTCTAGAGCCCTGGTAGCCGTTCAGTAAAATGCGCCCAGGCTCTGCCTGCCTCCACAGCAGATCCTGCTGTCTGCAACCCTGGCTCCAGCTCTGAAGGCAGCCATTAAAATGGGTAGTGTGTCTGAGCCCTCCAGGCTCAACCCTGTCCTTTCGACCCCATGGTGGGGAAACTCAGAAGTTTGCCGCTTTTGCTAGTGAATGAGAGGAACCAGACGGTCTCTGTCGGCCACATCTGAAGCCCTCGTCGCAATCATCCAACGCTCTGCTCCCAGCTTCTAATGCAGAAAGGCCAATACATTCCATTACCGGCACTGTTTTGAAAACTGAGACTATAGGAAAATGAGAAAAGAATATGCGGCTGAGCTAGGCAGGCAGGTTCTTGTAAAAAGTTTACAGCAGGCCATCATCATTACAGAGAACTGTTTCCCGGCAAGTCCTGGGGCTGGCAAACGCTTTGGTAGCTCCCTGTTTGGGAGTGACTTTAATGAAGGGTCCTCAAGGGGCTCGTCCACAGGGGTGGCTGTCGTAAGGCCACTGAACACCAAGTTTGCCAAACGTCACAGCCACCTGGAAAGATGCTTTACTGTAGACGCAATGTCTTCAAGGAGGACTCTCACCCAGGTTCTTAAGAACAGACCAAAATCGCAGCATTTGGAAAGATGAAGCAGGAAGATTGCAAGATTGAAGCCAGTCTGGGGTACACAGCAAGACCCTAAGACCCTGGTTCCAAAAAAAAAAAAAAAAAAGAAAAGAAAAGAAAAGAAATACAGAAACACATCAACTTGTTTACAGCAAGCTAACCACACACGGCTGTGCTTCCTCTGCCCTTTGCTGTGGCCCTTAAATTCACTTAATGGACGTCCACTGCTTTGCACCAGAGAAATCAGTAAGCATTGTGTTTTAAATGTGACAGGGTAATGTCAAGACTAGAAAAAAAAAAACAAAAACAGCTAATTATGCAAAGAAGAAAGTCAAGACATGATACCTCCCCAAACCACCTCCTCCTCTTTCCTTCTGGTCTAGAGTCTTTGAATACACAAAGGCCTGATTAGTCCTGTGGGGAAGTCCAGGCTGGGGAGCTCAGTTCAGGGTGCCAAGTGGCAAGGCCCTGCCCCTGCTTCCTTACTCACTGATAAAGAACGATGGTTTTTGCCTTCCTTCCTTCTAAAAAGAGAGGAAGCAAGAAGTCCTCAGTCATGTTGACATGTCATATTAGAACAACTTCATGTCAGCAACTGTTTTGCTTTCTGTTTGATAAGAACCTCAGCTTTCTTCCTCCACAGAACATACTCCCTGTTGGGGTGCTTATTTAAGTTATTCATAAATATGTGTGTGATAATAGCAGACTGTGGAAGCTGTGTCCTAAAGAACCTGGGGGCAGCACCCCTCGGGGGGGGGGGGAGGGACAGGCAGGTCTCCTCCATCTCTCAAGCTCCAGCTTGGCCCCAGCACCCATCAGATCAGGCAGTGTCTGACGGGGCCACATGTCGTTCTGCTATAACGCCACTAGGAGGCACTAAAAGCACGTGAAGACAGCAAGCTTTTACTGAGGCCAGCAAGCTCCCGGCTGCCCCTGAATTTAAGGACGCCCTGGGGAGGGGTGTTCTTCCTTACCTGTAAGTTCCCACCTCCAAAATTTCAGGGAAGCCACAGTTTACAACTGCATAAGCCACTCAGTTTATTAAGTCTGGGACAAGACCGCCTCCCCTACCATCGCTGCCTGTGAGATCACAACCATTTCTAGCAAGAGTGAACTCATTCACAGGTAAAGCAAACACTATAGGTACTGCCCATGATAACACAGGGAGGAAAGGAGTCTTAAACAGTGTTGGGGGGGGGGGGAGCATGACCATTAAAGTGCTCCCCTTGTAAGCAGGAGGGCCTGAGTTTGCTCCCCCGTAACACACATAAAAAGACAGGTACAAGGCAACACCGTGTCCTTGTAATCCCAGGCACTGGAGAGGCAGGAACAGGTGGATCCCCAGTCTTGCTGGCCTGGCAGCCTAGCCTAGTTATGAGTGTCCAGCCAATGAGAGACCTTGTCTCAAAATACACGGCGGACTGTATTTCATATGCAATTGTATCCTGAGGTTGGACCTTGACATCTACACATATGTGCACACACACACCAACACACACAACACCCTTCTTATTTTTCTCAAGAAAGGATTTCTCTGTAGCTTTAGAACCTGTCCTGGAACTAGCTCCTGTAGACCAGGCTGATCGTGAACTCACAGAGAATTGTTTGCCTGGGATTAAAAGCGTATGCCACCCCCACCCGGCCACAACACATTATTTTTACATTTTGCCACAATAAATAAAGTTTCTGGTTCCCTGTGTCCCCTTGTAGTATCTATTCACAAGGCACAGAATCTCATCAACGCCAAATCCGAAGGGACACAGCTTCATTCCAAATCACGTACCAGCACTGAACCAAACCTTGGAGAGGAAAGATGAGTCTCACCTTCACTTTAAAACAAAGAAAGTGAGGTTTAGCCGGGCATTCATACAGTATCTCATTTCACCCCCAGGCTAGCCCAAGGAGGAAAATGACCCAAATGCCCTCTCTGCATTTGGTATGAGAGACTCTTGCTTGAGTCCACAGAACTCCTAAGTGGGAAGCATGGGATTCCCGCAGCTTAGCCAGCCCACGATCTACAATTTCCAGCCTCCTGCTTGGGGCTCTGGAATTCCAGCGAAGGGTTTCCACTACATCAAACTGGAATTGCTTTAGCATTACCTCCAGAAGTTTCTTTGTTTGTTGGTTAGTCTTTGTCCTTCTAAACCTGAGAGCTTCTTTCTATAGCACCCCACTTTCTAAGTTACACTGGGCGGTGCGCTCCTCCAAGGAAGGTCAAACGTACCTGCTCCCCAGTAGGAAGGGAGAAAACTTCTGCTGAGGCCTGGGCTCCTTCCCTGAGCAAGTCATAGTAAACCTGCGCAGCTGCCTGCTGGCCTTCCGAGTCGTCCTGCAGGATATCCACAGGGTAGGCCTCTGTAGGAGAAAAGGGCACGAACAGAGTTAGTAGCACTCTGCAGCTAAAAGAAGAGTTCGTTATTTCAAGCTTTTTAAGGAATAGTTTATTTTAACCATAACAGTCTGACTGGGGAGATGGCTCAGTGAAGGACTTCCCATGCTCACATAAGGACCTGAGATCTAGCCTCAGACCCCACAGATCTGGGCAGTGGTGGCCTATGCTTTTAATCCCAGTGCTCAGGAGGCAGAGAGGCAAGCAGATCTCTGAGTCTGAAGTCAGCCTGGTTTATAGATCAAGTTCCAGGACAGCCAGGGCTACATACACAGAGAAACCCTGTCTCAAACAAACAAACAAACAAACGCAAAAAACAAAAACAAGCTTGCAATCCCAGCCCTGGAGAAGCACAGACAGACCTCTCGGGCTTTCCAGTCAGGCACCTTTCCCTAATCAATAGTTCCAGGTCCACGAGAGTCCAGGTCTTCAAAAAGCGAGGTAGACGGTGAACGGACCCTGAAGGATGGCACCTGAGATTGACGTCTGGCCTCCACAAGCACATGCACACATCAGCACGTACACACACCAACACATACCCACATACACAAACACATACACACACATACACCAACACATACCCACACACACAAACACATACACACATACCCATGCACACACCAACACACACACACAAACACATACCCCACACACACAAACACACACACACCAACAAAACATAAAACCCAGTCACGCACCCATCAACGGAATGATTTTTTTCCACTATTCACTGTGGTCCACTCAGGGACCGTGAACACAGTCTCCCTTGAAAGTAGAGAAGGGCAGGCTGGAACTTTGACATCAGCCTTTGTCACAGGCAACTTAAATTACTCTTTTTCTAGATTACCGTCACCGTGCAAGACCCTAGGATTCACCCCTTTCTTGTCCCTCGGCACTGGGAGCGCAGAGGCTTGTGGGAATGAAAGCGCGCATGCCTGCAATCACTTGCCCAGAAACTAATCTAAGGTATTCTGCAGCCATCCTCAGCATCTCTGTCCTCTCGCACCTCTGACAGAAACAGATCTGGAATCATCCTACGAATGAACAGTTCTTGGAAGCAGCAATCGGTTGCCCCTTCAGCCGTGGACAAAGACGCTGCCTGCCACTGGCTGACCTGTTCCGAAGCGCGTAGGGACTTGAAGCACATTCTGTGGACCCCACCATATCTCTACCTTTGATTTGCCGCCACCTGTGAGGGAAGCAGGCCATGCTAGCAGCAGCTGCCTGCCCCTTTCTTCCCCTTCTCTGTCTTCCCCTTCCCCTGCTCCTCTTTCTCCATGGATCTCCTCACATGGATTCATCTGGACATGCAATCCAGCTCCAAGCTCCTGCGGCATCTCGACTCCTGTTCTCTCCAGAGAACCATTGTTTCTGGGAGCCGCTCTAGAGATCCAAAAGGCTGTCGATAGCAAAAAAGTTTAAGCCTTCGGTTCACTCAGCTCACCCAGGCGGAATTTTGACCTCTGCCGATTAATTCCCAGTGAGAGAACTCAGGGGTGGGTGTGCAAGCTGCCGATATTAGAGGACTAGGACCAGGTTGCATGCACCGCAACCCTCGGGCTCACTTTCCAGGGCGCAAATGCCATGAATACACAGGCCCCCCGTGGCTGAGTGGAAACAGACAGCCTCCCTTCGGGAGGGTCTACATCATGGATCGAATCAACCACAGACTAAAGATACCAGGGAGAAGGACAGCACAGAACGCGTACAGATAGCCTTACCACGACTCCCTAAGGAGTAAAGGATAACATCACCTGTATTAGCAATTATAAGCCACCTGGAAACTAGCACTCACAGGCTGCACATAAACATGCCATTTTGCAAGGGACTTGACTGCAGGTAGATTTGCATGTCTAAAGGTGGTCTTTCAACCATTTACCAGTAGATACTGAAGGAAAACTGGACATTCTGTCACTATTCAATCTTTTATAAAACATTTGAGTGTAAAACACACACATACACACACACACACACACACACACACACATACACACACGATGTTCTTAAAAGTGCGCTGTCAGAAATCTTTAAAATAAAGACATCGAGGGTTGATGGCTTACTGGTGGCAATGACTAAGGGAATACAAAAGAGATGAGTTTCCATAAAGCCAAGATCTTCTTTGGCAAAGAAGGCGCACACTCGTGTGCTCAAGGAAGCTCAGGCTCCTCATCAACATGCTCAGCAATGCCGCTAGCCACTGTGCAGTGCAGACCCTAAGCCCAGGAAGGCCTGCCCTGAGTCTTTACTGGGGTTGTCATGTACTCAGCACAAGAGCCAGAGGGTCCTGAAGGATATCAAATTACCCAGCGCCTGCTTCACATCTGTCACAGAGACCAACCCAGCCTGCAACGGCCCTCCTATCCCTCCCTCACTTAGATCAAGGCCGCAGCTTCTCCTGAGAGCCTCAGGCCTCACCCTCCCACCCATCTAAGCTCCATCCATAATTAACAGCGACAACCAACTCTCTCTGGCTTCCAGTGGCCAAGAGGCAGCTGAGTGTCCACAACCTTCTCGCACTGTATCCTGCCTGCCCCCAGTTTACAGGGAATGGAGCAAAGCTTCATAAAAGAAAATAACAAAGCATGAACCCAGGCCCGTCTGATTCCAAACTCTGGGTAAAGCATCAGATTATGTTGTTTAAAGCAAAGCTCCCCCATCATTACAGCGGGGCACCCAATGGGCTCCTGTAGCCCCTACTCTCAGATTTCTGCCACTCCATCCTCAAGGCTCACTAGAGACAGCCAGCACTCCTCGGGGGCCCTCCTCGAGCCCCGAAAACCAAGATCAAGGATTCCATGAGTTACCGAGGCCTGAGTTCAAACACCACCTCAACCTAGGATAGGAACTGACATGGCCCAGCCACCTTTCTGTCATAGAGTTGCAGTCCCCTCCAGCTTGCCCCTTAGTTTTGTCTTAGAGCAATTACCTCTTAATCCATAAACAAAGAAGCTGTGGCTTGGGAAGCACAACTCAGCTCCCCTCCCAGTCCCAGCACAAAGGCCATTCCCTATAGAAAACCCTACACCCGTGCCTTCCCCATAGGAAGCCCCATACCCATGCCTTTCCCATAGGAAGCACTTAGGAAATGTGGGTGGTTAATCTTGCCATTTCAACAGCTGTCTCATGGACTTGTCATATGGCTTCCCACGGGTATAGGAGATCTAGTGAGCATGCCAATAAATTAAGAGGAGCCAGCAGGTGGGCTGCATGGACCCTGGGTACCCATCATGCTACATTTGTACTGTGGGAGCCAGCTTTAGAATCGACCACCCCAGACCACCAGCCTGAGGATCACGAAGAGACCAGACCTGGATTTTTGTCATTTCTAGGTCTATGTTTTAGGAGAATGCTCATCAGTTCTGGACCATCAGCCCCCTGAGGTATGGACTGCAGAACTCACAAAGACCATTATCAATCGACCCCATGGAAAAGCTGACCCTAGGGTCATCAGGTTTGCTAATGGCAGCTATCCAAGGCCGAAGCCAGACACTTGCCAGGAGCTGTCTGATATCCTTTCTGGTTGGTGTGTGGTCAGGATAAATATCATGAAATTGTTATGCCCTCTTCACATCATAAAATCATTCACCCTGAAAGTTAAAACCCACTCAAAGAATTCATGTACAGTGCTCCCAAGAATTGGCTGTCCCCATAAGAGAAATGAGGCGCCTTGGCCTCTCCAAAAGGGTACAGGAGCATGTGGGGAGAGGTCTTCTCAAGAACATAATGCTTGCCGGGCGGTGGTGGCACATGCCTTTAATCCCAGCACTCGGGAGGCAGAGGCAGGCGGATCTCTGTGAGTTCGAGACCAGCCTGGTCTACAGAGCTAGTTCCAGGACAGGCTCCAAAGCCACAGAGAAACCCTGTCTCGAAAATCAAAAAAAAAAAAAAAAAAAAAAAAAAAGAACATAATGTTTGCTGGAATCTGTTGTGGGAAGTCATTCTGCCAATAGCTTTTGGGTACCTGCCTTAGGGTATGGCTTCTTGTCTGCTGATGCGGTCTCTTAAAAGGAGAGGCAAGGGTTGTGTGCTCTCTGGGTTGTGAAGGCCAAGTGAGGTGGCAGGAAACAGAGTGTGGCCGCTTCCCAACTCCCTTGATCCTCAACTCCATGAGTCTGTTCTCCCACGCACCCCTTAACAAGTTGATATATATATATATATATATATATATATATTGATATATATATAAATATATATATATATATAAATATATATCTTTGTGGTTCTCGTTACAAGCGGAACCCAAGAGAGACAAAGGTAGCAAGGCTGGTACCCAAAGCTATTGGTGGAATGAATCCCACAACAGGAACCAGCAAGACATGGTCCCGCCTGATTATCTTGAGAGTGGGGTTTACTTTCTGTTGCCCAGGGGCAGCAGGGAACTGAAATTAAGCACTGGGGATGTCAGCACTCACCAGGTAGTTGGCACCAACACTGGGTTTCCTTGCTAAGACTTGAGACTGACTGTAGACCTCTATCCATGAGGAAGAAGAGTCATCAAGAACGCCTGGGGCACCCTGCAACCAGGGCCCATGACACCCCATCCATACTAAATACCCTACCCCCGGGGAAACTCTACCACCCCAAAACTCAACAGTGTGTCTCCTAAATGGAAAATGCTCACATAAGCCTCAGGGAAAACCAGGGGAACATGAAAATGAGAATTGCCCAAGTAGGAAAAGCGATAGACATTCAAACCCAGGCAGAAAAGGGGACTTCCCTCCTCCTTCCCCGGAGGAAGCCCCAGGACCCCCAACAGACCCCCTTTTATGTTCCCACTCCAAGCGGCCCTGGCAATGAAACAAGTCTGGGGTGGGTCAGGCCAAGCTCAATTCTGGTGGTGAAAGACAGGCCCCTTCCCCTCCCCTCAGCCCTCCAGATGTGAGCCCCTAGCAGGCCTTAATGGCTTGAACCCAACAGGAAATATTTTTCCAAAGCCAAAAGAATGTAATCCCCACAGCACAACACT